CCCTTCATTCGCTGTGAACCCAAATTCCTCTGAAAGTAGGAGAGAGAGACAGGTAGGTAGGTGGGTAGGCAGATAACCTCCTAGGCCAGTGGTCGGCAAACTCATTAGTCAACAGAGCCAAATATCAACAGGACAACGACTGAAATTGCTTTTGAGAGCCACATTTTTTAAACGGAAGCTATATAGGTCGGTACATTGTTATTAGCTTAATTAGGGGACTCCTAAGCTGGCCTTTGCTAAAAACGTCCTCAGTCTGATGGAGGTACGTTCGCTGAGGTCGATCCCTTCCAACTCTCCCATCCACACTCGTCTGCGAGCCGCGGTTTGCCGACCACGGTGCTAGGATATCACAATACTAGGGCACATGCTTCTCTTCCTGTGTCAGGCACTCGCCATCTAATAATGCTGAGTCAGTAACGAACGGCGTGCAGACAGCCCGACACAGGGTGGTGGGTATGGCCGCAGTGCGGGCAGTGCCCTGCGGACGGCTGCTCATCCCCGGCGTTTGGAACTGCTGTCCCAGGCCCACCTCCCGTCCAGGAAATGGCTGTCACAGTTTAACGTGACGTCAGCACCTATTAATAGAGAGGAAGAGGAGATAAGAAACAAGACAAAGGAGGGAAGAGGGTTGATGCCTCGATGCCCCACGCACATTGGTCTGGCTTGTTTACCTCGAGAGACACGTCGTGTTGGCGCTAAATCAGGAGGAATTCTGAGCACGGAGGGTGTATGGGAACCTCGAGGGTTTGAAAACAAGGTCAGGAAGCAACAAAACGCAATAGGAACACACACATCTAATAGCAGACAATCTGACACAAATGTTCAGGTGGCAAAGCGGGGACCCCCCCACATCCCAGGAGGGGCCCTGGGGACACCTTGAGGTCGAGACAGAAGTCGCCAAGATGACCCTTTAGCACCCTCACCGGTGTGGCCCAGTGGGTAGAGCGTCGGCCTGCAGACTGAAGGGTCTTGCATTCGATTTCGGTCAAGGCCACGTATCTTGGTTGCAGGCTCCTCCCTGGCCCGGGCCTTGGTCGGGGCTCATACAGGGGGCAACCCATCCCTGTGTTTCTCTCACATCGATGTTTCTCTCTCTTCCCCCCTCTCTCTCTGAAATCAATGGGAAATACCCTCAGAAGCATGGAACAGAGTGCAGAGCCCCAGCGGGAGGGCAGGGGAGGGCAGGCGGGGGTGGAGGTGACCAACCAAAGACCTTGTACGCACATATGC